TTGTGTGTGTGTGTGTGTGTGTGTGTGTGTGTGTGTGTGTGTGTGTGTGTGTGGGTGCGTGCTTGGCGGAGGGAGAAGTGACTAGTAGTTAGTAGAAAGTCTAGATTCGAACCTGGTTATATATAAGGAAGTAAGTCGTGTGTTATTTTCAGGAACATATTTTTCTTCTGTGTTCCGTGGTCTTTGTGGATGGACCAGTTGCGTGTCTTGAGATTTGTTCTCTTAACTGTGTAGTTTTTTAAATATGAACTTAAGTTTGGACACAGTACTGGATCTTGCTGATCACTCTTGTGGGTCTTCTTCATCTGTTGCGTTGTTGTATTACGGTTGCCACAACTTCCATATATTATACTACTACAACACGACAACATTATATTATGTACCTGTCCCACTTTGTTCGATCGTTAGTTCTGCATAGATATTGATGTAAAGCGCTTGGTGTCCAGAGTGAATATGTTGTTATTATTAGTGTTTTTTGCTTCTTGTTTTTTGTTTGTTACTGCATTTGCCTTTATTTTATTTTTACAAAGTTTTAGTTTATAGTTGTTGGGGCTTTTTGTTCTCTTTCATAAGGACGTGGAGGTCAGGGACGAGTTACTGGTCTTTGAAATCATCTCTTTTGTGTCTGATTTATTGAGCTTTGAGTTTGAGTTTGAGTTGGAAAAAAGAAAAGCACATCAATAAAATAAGAAAAAGTGCCTGCCAACTATCCAATGCGTTTAGTGTAGGCTCTTTCTTTTCTATCAAATATCTATCGTTCTTATGTCTCCTCCTTTTTGTGACACCTCTAATCCTAATCCTCTACACTTACTGCTTACATGAGTTATTGTGTTGCAAGTGCCGTAAAACTTTTACTAAAAACCAATTCAGCACTTAAATGAATTAATTGTGTTGCAAACCACGTAAAACTCTTACTAAAAACAACATTTCAGCACTTGTGTGATCTAATTGTGTTCCAAGTGCCGTAAAACTCTTGCTAAAACAATTGATAATAAATGTAACTGTTGACTGACTGTTGTCTCTCTCTCTCTCTCTCTCTCTCTCTCTCTCTCTCAGGATTGGCGCAGCTTCCCCTGCTGATGGCACTAGTGAAGATCCAGGGGGCGGACATAGAGCTGTGTAACGCTGATGGGATGACGCCTCTCATGTTGACTGCTGCAGTGGGCAACTGTGTGCTTTGTGATGTAAGTGACAACAGATTCATAGAGTGAGGGGGATAGTATGGGGTTTTTTTTCTTCGTTTGTGTGTGTGTTAATGTGTGTGTGTATGTGTGTGTGTGTGTATGTGTGTGTGTATGTGTGTGTGTGTGTGAATCGTTTAAGGCACTAAATTAAACACACACATGCAAACACACACTCACACACATGCACACACACAAACACACACACACACACACACGCACACACACACATATTCACACATACATGCTTATACACACTTACACACTCTCACACTCAAAGAGAGAGAAAAGGAGAGACAGACAGACAGACAGACAGACAGACAGACAGACAGACAGACTAACAGACTGACAAACAGAGAGAAAGAGAGAGAGAGGATTTTACACATAAGACTAGTTGCAAGCAGAGTAAAAGGAAAATTGTGTCCTTGTCTGTCTGACCTATGGACAGCAGGCTAGGGACAGTTTGGTTATCAATCCATCCATATTAACGTATTGTATACATTTCGAGTCTCTTTGGTTAACAAATGAATGGATAGCATCACCCGTCGTGTTTCATTGTCTATTATAGCATCTTTACATCATGTTATGAAGTGCTATACATCTGTGAATCTATAAATAATTTTGGTCATGTGCTCATTGTATTGTATCCGGGTCAATCGGCAAGGCAAACTGTGTCACTGTTTTGTAGCCTTATATTATGTTTACCATGAATAAAACCTGAATGGTTGAATGAGTCAAAATATAGTAATAATGATAATGAAATAATGATAATGATGATAATAATAATGATGATAATAATAATAATAATAATGACAATAATAATTATTATAATAAAAAGTGACTTTCCCAAGGAGACAATGTCAGACCCCTAATGGGATTCGAAATCTGAACCCTAAGGCTGCAATTTTAAGTCTGAGAACCTAACCAATAGGCTACCAATGCCCCATATATGAATTAATTCATAAATGACTGAATAAAGGAATCGATGACATAATGGATAAGAATGTCTGGATGAGAAAGGGAATAAAAATGACTGATTCATTGCATTTTATCTCTTGTACATGTGTATTCACTCACTTTATTAGAGTTCTTTTCTTCCTTTATTCTGTCTGAGCACTTGTACTAATTTTGTATTTGTGTTTCTTATACGAATATACTTTGGTTGTTTTCCAGGTTTTGATATGCCTTTTCGGCGCTGATCCTAACAAACCAAACCCCCAGTCTGGGCAAAGTGCTCTTCACTACGCTGCAGAGGGAAACCACAGAAAAACGGTGGAGTAAGTACAATGGTTTCATATTATGACGAGAAATAATGAATAAAAATAAAACATGCATTTCCATTATTCACAATTTCCAGTGTGCTTTACAAAACATTAGTAGCCTACAATAGCATTAAAATGCAGGCAGCATCCGTGCACAAGAATGTACCCATAGAATTAATAATAACCCACTAGTTTTATGGTTAAAGTCTCATTTTGAAACCAAAAATGACAATATCAATTTCATGGTTATCCAAAATATATTATATCAAGTATCTCTTGTTGAGGACGTAATCACATCATCCAGATTGGTCTAGATAAGGATATAGAAGGCAGCTTACTCTCTATGTGATCAGAAAGTGTGCCTGAAAAAGAAATAAATGTCTTGGTGCTGGCATGTTGTTGTCCAAAAGTACCATCAGCAAGGACTATAACTTGACTCTCCGTCTGTTGTATCTAACTTAACCTTTTACCCTTACACTAAATAACTTACTAGGTGGTTAGCAGGTGCTCTGGTGTGGTTTACAGATGCTGGGATTTTTTTTTTTTGCCCTTTCTTTACTGCCAAACATCTGTCATTCCATCTGTTCTCCTTCTTTTCTTTGTTTGTTACTTTCCAGTAACATGTCGATCTTTGGTACTTATCTGACTTATTTGTTTTGCTAGTGCCTTAAAACTTTTACTTTCACTAAAACTGAACTTTGTACGGTTTCTCAGATGTCTGATCCGCCGTGGTGCTGACGTGAACATAGAGGCCCACGATGGCCTGCGACCAGACGACATCCCAGCATGCCTTGCTGCCACAGATGACTGCAGGGAGATCATCGCTTTCAATAGAGTGCAACGCTTGGAGATGCTCAGCGAGCTAGTCAGAAAAGTGAGAAGAGAAAACTTTCTTTCTTTGAGGTGGCAGCAGCAATTGGGGGGGGGG